ATTAATCTGTTTATATTTGTTCGGCGCTGATACACTTGCCAATGTTTCGTGTAACGTGTCCCGCATTCTTGTTGCGCCGTTGCGACAAGTTACAGGAGACGTTACTTAGTGTAACATCCCCGGACGACACGTAAAATATTGTTACAGCGTTGCCATTTGTTGCAAAAAAAGAGGCCTTGATTCTGCTTCGTGCAAGGCTTGCTATAAAACCGAGAAATGTTCCAGTCGTCAGTCGACGTCAGGTTCACTTCAGTGCGAGTCAAGTTGCAAGAAAAATTGCCTCGTGCTATAGTGCCTAAAAGTTGCACACGATAAACCAGCACCCAGGGGGAAACAGATCAAATACTTTCCTTTGCCCTCACACTGATTACTGTCAGTACACTCACAGCACGACGCCTTCCCCTAACTTACTTTCTTTCTTCAGCTACATTCTTCACACACATAATGGGTGGAGAGAGGGCACTACTTTTTATAAATTTATGCTATAAGGGTGTTTTCCACTGGATGTTGCCGTGGTCTGTAAGGGGAATAGGGTAGCGGCTGGGTATAAACACTTCTGCCTGGGACTGGGGTCAAACATGAGACCACATGGTCTAGCCGTCACAATCTGACAGTCTGCCTTTTTCAATGTTTGTTTGGCATTTTGACTCTTATCTCCTATGGAAGCAAGGAGATGTTATGCGGTTTCTGATCTCCAGTAAGGGCGGTGAGAAGTCGTGTTATCTGCTAGGGAACTTGGTCTGAACGTGAGACCACATAGAAATATAACAAGTCGTATCTCATCTGGTTTTGCATTCCTGGTTACTAGACCCCCAGCAAAGCACCCCAACCCAAACCTTTTACAATTCCTCCTTGGGTTTTACCTACGTGAGTACTGATATTATTTATAAAAATATTTACATGTTATTACAGGATGTGCAATATTTAGTATGAATAGGTATGGAAGGGAGAAGGAGAGGGATATGATGCTCTTTCTTATTTGTCAGAATCTTAGCTGTTAAAAGAGGTTTTCATTCCTTCCCCCACTTTCTTGGCAATTTTGAGCAATTGGTTTTGTTCGTGCGTTCGGTTTGTTTAGAATTTTAGGGGTTTGCCTATGTTCGTCAAAATGAGTGGGAAAGGGTAATCTGAACTCATTACTGAGCTGTTTATTTGTTCGTTTGTTGGCCCGGTCATGCAAACAGTACAGATCGCGCGAGGAGATAACATTACTGAAAATAAGGTTTCTCATGAAAGTGTGCTATTATTCACTGAATAAAAGGTAGCGTCAACGAAGCATGTACCGCTACCCTTATGGCTTTTTGGTCTGTTAATATGAAGTATGAATCTTTTACACGTAATTTGTATGCATATTACGTGTGTGCCGTCAGTGTCGGGAAAAGCACGCTTGGCATCTGAAACAACTTCAGTCTTCACCGCAGCCAACTTCAGAGAATATTGCAGCTAAGAGCAACCCACCCCGTAAAAGGTTCCCTATTCCACCTGCGATGTTTAGCAGCCCTTCTGGTATGAACAATTCCTTAATTAGTGATGAAGATTACAAACAACCACTTACACCAGCGAGTGCAAAAACTGCCTACAACCAGTATGTGTACAAATGACATGAAGTGAGCCATTTAGACATCTAGATTCTGTTCTGATGAAAGAGTGGAAAGACTTGCATCCTCGTACTAAACATTATTATGCGTCGTTCGCTAAACAAGAAGTTAGACCAGTGTTGGAATCAATTGCCCCTGGCCAAGGTGACGAGCTTTGGAATTACTTGAAAAACAGTTCAATAACGGGTCTTGGCAACAGCGATAACGACTGTGATGAAGATGAAGAAATTTCCCCTAACACCTTCTCGGACAACACTTTACGAAATCTTATTGATGCCTATAACAATGCACAGTCTTCAAAATCGAGAAAAGAAATTTTGTCAATATTTGCTCAAAATTTTAAGAGAAAGCAGTTGAAAGACCTAATTCCTGGTCTGACAGATTTTCGTATAAAGGAGGCTAGGAAGCATTGTAAAGAACATGGACCAGGCACTGCAGTGCCTACAGCTCCAGTTCACAGGTTCTTTCTCAGTGAAGACAAAGCTGACCACTTTTTAAGGTTCATAACAAGCGACATGATTTCACAAGACACAGCATACGGTACTTCCAAAATGAAACTCGAAAGTGGAGTGGAATTAGTGATTCCAAAGCCAATACGAAAATTGATCCCATCTCGAATCATCGCACAGTACTTAACGATTTGTGACGAAAGTGGTTTTAAACCGGCCAGTACAAGAACTTTGTTCAGAATTCTTGAAGTCTGCCCAGCTTCGACAAGAAAATCTCTTCAAGGTCTGGACAACTACACGGCAGACGGATCAGAGGCATTCGAAAATTTAGAAGAAATTATCAGCAAGCTCTATGACGGAGGGATGCCCGATAGTAAGGCTGACAGGCTGCGTTCAATGGCCTTGTCCTGCAAACGTTACCTAAAGCAGGACTACAGCACACATGTCGTGAACGATTCAACGAGTGACATTTCCTCTGCGTCTCCTGACCATTGTCGATTCTTTGCACTAAGTGACTCCAAGGAAGAACAAGTTATGCAGAGCTGTTTACATAGCCACTTAATCGAGTGTGATAGATGCCAGGAACTACGTGATCTATTTCTCTCTTTAGAGGAGGAAATAGGAAAGATTTCTGAGCGGTGCCCCATGGCTAGTGACGGCATATGTGATCTTCGTTTCCTGATGGATGACAGTAAAGACAAGATAGAACAATGGAAAGCTCACATTTTGAAAAGTGTGAATCAAGAAGAGGGAAAGAAGGAAGTCCTCGATAAGTTAGAACCTACTGAAGCCCTTTTGGTGGACGATTGGGCGATGAAATTTTTGCCACTGCACTTCAGGGAAAAATCAGCCGAGTTTTGTGGAAAGCGTGGTATAAACTGGCACGTCACAGCAGTGATAAGAAAAACGCCAGAATCCTCTTTATCAGTAGAAGTTTTTGTCCATGTCTTCGACAGCTGCGATCAGGACCAGATCGCAGTGGCTTCAATTACCCAGAACACACTGTCCACACTTAGAAAACTGTACCCAGAGCTAACAGGAGTTTATTTTAGATCAGACAATGCCGGATGTTATCACGGAGGATATCTTTTGACTAGCCTCCCCAGTATTGGTCATGAAACTGGGATCAGAGTCATTGGCTATGACTTCAGCGAAGTTCAACATGGCAAAGACATATGTGATCGAAAGACAGCAACAATGAAGCAACATGCAAGGCGCTTTGTGGCAGAGACGAAGACCGACATTCTGACAGCGTGTGATCTAAAAAAGGCCCTGGAAAGTAATGGTGGAGTAAAGGGATGCCGAGTAAGCGTTGTAGAAATGCCACAGAGATCCAATTGACACAAACGTGAAAATAAAAGGAATTAGTCAGATTCACAACATTCGTTACGAAGAAGGTGGCATACGCTTTTGGAAAGCATTTGATATTGGAAAAGGAAAACGCGTGGTACAAGACAATATGCCGTCAGCTGAAATTCCAAAGGTTAAGGTAGTACGGGCCTTTCCGGAAGCATGCCTTTCCAGCGGAACAATTGCAAGGAGTTCCAAACACAATGAAGAGGAAAAGGCCACACCTACAGATACTGAAAACGTTGAAAGTGATGCATTATTTGAGTGCCCTACTGACGGGTGCACTTGCTCTTTTGATTCTGAAACAGAGCTCCAAAGGCACCTGGATGTCGGAAATCACGTCCGTCGCTTACACAGAGAGTCTCAGTTTGACTACATAAGGCGTCGCTATGCTGATTTGGTAAATGACGAACTATCAAAGCCACTTTTCGGGGCTAATTATCCAAGTGAGTCTGAGCAGAGTGGAAAGAGGGTTAGCAATATCACCATGAGATGGGCATTAAAAAAGCACAAGTCTACACGTTTTTCTACAGCTGTTAATGACAAATTCCTTATTGGCGAGGAAACGGGAAATAAGGCATCGCCAACTCAAGTTGCTCGGGAAATGCACAGAGTACGAGATGATAAGGGTAATCGTCTATTTGTTGGAGGCACTGTCTCAGTTATCAACAGATTGCAGCATACTTTTCTCGTCTTGCAGCAACAAAAAAAGAAACACGGTTCTTTAAACGCAGCTGCCAGTTCGGAGGAGGTAGAAGAATGTTTGGCTGAAGAACAAATGCAGGAACACGAAGAGGACATTTCACTTAGAAAGAAGGTGGTATTCAGCAATCTGCAGTTGGAGCATCCAATCACCTACAAGTCCTACAACCTGTGCAAGTTAGCTGCAGACGGGAAATTAACAAAGAAATTTAGCATTGCTGATCTAAAAGACATCTGTGACTCACTTGACATTGAAACTGAGGACTTTAAGCGCCGTAAAGCTCCGTATAAAGATGTTTTAACAAATGTGTTAAGCAGTTGTACTTGCAATAAGAAGTAGCCCATAGGGCACTGAAATATGTAACATGATACTGGACTATTTTGGCCACATTCTGTCTAAACAGCTTAAAGTTAAGTTCAACTAGTTAAGTATCATTTAAGACACGTACGATGGCAACGACAAAATTTCATTTCTCAACTATTTAAGACTTATTCTTAATTTTTAATCCTTTTTTGCCAGTTGTTGGAAATTTTGTCACAATCTAAAATTTCGAAAGGGCGGATTTTGAAGTTGATGACGTCATGTGACGTAATATGACGTGACGGCTAAAACGTTGCTATAATGAACTTAAGAGGTTCAGGGCACTTAACATTTCAAAAAGGTTGCTCCTCAATAGCATATGTACTTTTGGAGGTAAAGAGACACTTTCTGCCTTCCCCCCACCCCACTTCCCCTCGTCTAATAAATTCCAAAAACTTAGTTTTTTATATTATCTGCAAAAAAAAGTAATAGAAACAACAACAAAAAATGTGATTGTGACAGGAAACGTCTTCTCAAACGTTTAGGATGTTTTAAATCTCTTAAAATTTCTCAAGGACGACAAGTTGTTAAGACATTAAAATACACCTTTTTTCCTTTAGTTTACAAAATAGAGGTAGAAGACGCAGCTCATGAGACACATAATATGCTATTGCCCATTAAGTTCTTGGTACCTTTCGGAAGCTGGGGCCATCTACTTTAAACCCATATATAAGTAAAACCTCTGAATTACTGGAACATATAGTTGTGGCATTTTAAAAAAAAGTGGAAAATGTTGGGATCTGAAAATTAACATAGATAATCACTTTTGATCACCTCTGAATTTTTTACCTTTATACGGTAGGTGATTTTAATGATATTGCCTTGGAGCATATACGACGCCATTTCCATATATTGCCAAGAAAGGATGTCATCTTCTTTTAACTATGTAGAAAAAATAGAATGAAATGTGCCCCATTTTTGTTATTTTGGATGATAAAATTTAGTCCTCGAATTACGGAAAAAAAGGCTGCCAAATTTCTTGGCTTATTAAGAGCAGCTTGCCAAACTTTTATTTTCTGTGTAATCAGTACATGTAATGCTATCATTCCACAAAAAATCGTGAGAATGAAGGATTTCGTATTTCATGGCCCCCATACATGAGTGGTCAGTTTTTTGTGACGGATGCACTTAATTGTTTCAACTGAGACAGGTGCATGTTATTTCTATTCGATAGATAGTTACAATTTAAATCGCCTAAGATAATTTATTCCTTAGATTCCAAGTCAATAATGCGAACAATAGCTTCTAAAGTTTTAAAGAAGCCAACCGTACAGCTAGGGGGCCTGTAGGCCGCAGTTACGTTAAAAGCTTTAATATTAGGCTTTTTTATTTCAACACTTAACATTTCATACTCGTTATTGGGAATTATTTCATTTCTGAGGCAATAAGTAATATTCGATCGAAGATAAATGCACACGCCGCCGCCATTACGGTTTCGATCCTTTCTTAGGATCGAATACCCGTCAATATGAACCAAGTTGTCAGTTATTGTAGAATCGAGTCTAGTCCCATTAGCAGCTAGCAGATCAAGACACTGATCAGCCATAATTTGTCGAAGCTCTTTAATATGTAGCGGGTGACTTGCAACATTAATACTCGCAATTTTAAAGCCCCTTACTTTCAAGGCAGAGGTCATATTATCATAACAATTTGGTTCACATTCAGGCAAAAAAACTGTTGACTTCTTTAAATCAATAACAATTACTAATATGATTCAAAATATTCTTGGCAAGTGCTGCGCTACCTTTCTGATTTAGGTGCAGGCCACTACTGTTTAGCATGCTGCTTCCTATTTTGCTGTTGTCGATAAAACTTAAGTAACGGCCACTTACAAATGACTTGATAATCCTGTTCGTTTCTGTTACTTTGTCCCCCATGCTTGGCTCGTCTGTTCTATGAGTGAGGCCTGAAATGGTTACACTAGCTGTGGTATTCTGCGATATGTCTTCGCACAGATTTATAATATCTTCTGCGACTTCACGAGGAGATCTGTTGCGAAGATCGTTCGTGCCAACATGTAGTATGATCTCACTTGGGTCGGTACAAACAGTTGGGATGGCATAGCTTTCCATATCGCTCATTGTAGCACCGGGGAAACACCTCATCTAAACTTTAGTGTTATTTTTTGACATTTTCCACCATTGTAATCCCTTCACAGTAGAATCGCCAAGAATAACTACCCGATTTTCTGAATCTTGTTGCTCAGATTGCCGATTGAAGCTAATTGTGCCGGGCCGTGAGTTACTTGATTCTAACAATGTATTCTGCGGGCCCTGTTCCTGCTCTTTTTTCTTATCTTTTCTGTTGCCACTGCCTTTCTAGTTCTTCTTCTAGCTGTGGTTCTTTTTGCCGTTTTGATGGGTTGTCTTTGCAGGCCTAACAACAGAGATACTTGTTTGCGTGATTGCTTCTGATGGCGTGACAGCTTTTGTCAACAGCCGTAAAATTATATGCCTCTTCTTGACTAAGCTTTAAATCATTTCGTTGGAGAATTCTTATCGTAGAAATAAGAGTTGGTTTTTCGCTTTCAAGGGTTCCTATCACTTCCTTCAGCTCGGCTAGATTATCTTTCGCGACTTTCAGTTGATTACGAAGTAGATTATTCTCTTCCTGTAATTTGAAATTCAGATTTTCAGAAGCACCAGCAGAAGATATGTTAATTTTCCCGCCATTATTCAAAATATACGAGATATCATTTTTCATCCTCTTTATTTCCTCTTTTATTAGTTGTAAATCAGATTTTACCTCATCCTGACTTGTAGTAGTCAACGCATCCGTCGGATCTAACTGTTCTATTGCATACGTCTCAATATGTTCATCTGCTGCCGAAGCTTCGCTTTGCTGACCGCCATTATTACTATTCATTGCTTCATCTCCGTCGTCTTTAACGTTCAAAAAGTCGGAGAATGCCTTTGTAAAACTTGCACTGCCAGAACCTTGAATAATGATCTTCTTTGTAGTAGTGTACAATTTAATTGTGCAGTCCGCGGCCTTGAACGAGAGTATTTTGTGATGTTTAACTTCGTTCACCTCGGCTGAAGCAATCGCCGTGTTCTTCAAAATTTCCGACACCAAAATCTTGAGTGAGTCAACATTACTTGACCAAAGCAAGTAATTTAAAGTACTATCATATGATAAACAATCCCTTAGCGTAGAATTTTCCATCGTTGAACGTACTATTTTGAGCAAATAATCCGATTTGTTGAAGAGTCGCTTGCAGCGTGTGTACACGTGGTTAGACCTAAGCAAGGCCTGCACCTTGATTAATGTGTTCCTCAGTGTCTCGAAGTCCACCTCTCTTTGACTGCTGGCCAGTGTGTTGACTAGCGCCTTGATCTGCTTCTTTGTCAGTGTGAAGCCAAGTGTCCCAACTGCTACCTTATTTAGCATGTCAGTGTGTGGACAAGTGTCTTGACCTTCAACTTTGGTAGGCTCTTAGAGGGAGTGTCGACCAGCCTCTTGGTCTGCACCTATGTCAGTGTCTCGCAAAGTTTGGACTTCCTGTAGAACTCTGCTAGCTTGTGCTCTTGTTGTTTGACCAGCCTTTCCTTAGGATCCTACCTTAACGAGGGTGTCGCGGAGTGTCTTGACCTCCGCCTCCGCTAGCCCTTCAGCCAGTGTGTCTACCTGCGCTTTAGCTTCCCCCTAGGCCAGTCTTTTTCTAGCTATCCAGACAATATCTCCACCAGCGCGTCAGCCTCCAACTTGGAAATATTTGTTGCCAATTGTGTTTACCACAACGTCTTCAAGCCTCTCAATTAGGGTGACGACCAGGGCGTTTGCATCCAACACGGCAAGTGTGTGGCTTAGTGTCCTGACCTCCATTTCTGCTAGCCTGTCAGCCATTATGTCGACTTACGCCTAGGCCTACCCCTTAGCTAGGGTGTTGCTTAGTGTCCTACCTCTAACTCTGTTAGGCTATTAGTTAGTGTGTCGACTAGCCTCTTAACTAGGTAGAGACCTAGCTCAGTTTGTCGCTAAGTGCCCCGACCCATACGTCTGCTAGACTATTATCGTGTGTGTTTACAAGCGCCTAAGACTTTACTTTGGCCAGTGTCTGGCGTAGAGTGTCGAGCTACACCTCGGCTAGCTTGTCAGCCAGTTGTTTGACCAGCCTCTGGGCCTGTACCTCGGCCAGTCTTTTGCCAAGTGCCTGGAACTAAACTTCTGCTAGCCTGACAGCCAGTGTGTCTACGAGTGGCTTGCGTTTTCAGTTCGCCAGAGTGTAAGCAAGTGTCTCGACTTTCGCAACTGCTAGCCTGTGAGTCAGTCCGTCGACCAGCACGTCAGCCTCTGCCTCAGCCACGGGGGTGTCAAGTGTCCCGACCTTCAACTCTGTGGCCTGTCAGTTAATGTGTAGTCCAAAGACTAGGTCTTCACCTCGCCTAATGTTTAGCCAAGTGTGTGGACCTCTTCCTCCGCAAGCCTGCAGGCTAATGTCTCGGTTGGGCGTCAGCCTCCACCATGGACAGTAAGTCGCCAAATGTGTGGACTTGCTCATCTGTTACATTTTCAGCCAGTGTGTCTACTTGTGCCTCGACCTCCTGCTTGGCCTGTCCTTCGCCAAGTATCTCGACCTCCACCTCTGCTAGCCTGTCAGCCGGTGTGTTCACCAGTGCATCATTTTCGGCGTTGGCTAGTGTCGCCAAGTTTCTCAAACTTCTGCTTGCCCGTCAGCCATTGGGTAGTCAAGCGCCTTGGCGTCTACCTCAAGCTGTGTGTCGCCAAGTGACTCGACCTCATTCTTTGCTACCGTGTCACTCAATGTGTGTAACGTTTCTATGCCCTTTAGCTCGGACAGTGTGTCGCCAAGTGTGTGGACCTTAAGCTCTGTTTCTGTGGCTGCCAGTGTGTCAAGAACCGCTTTGCACTCCACTTTGGCCTGCGTGTTGCCAACTTTTTCTTCCTCCACCACTGGTAGCCTGTCAGCCAGTGCGTATATAAGCGTCTCGGCGTCCACCTTGGCAAATGTGTAGCAT